TGCACTCTATATGTTTCTGGAAATATGCTGATGAGTGTAAATATGACATAATTAGAATAGGCTTTATGCTAGATATGCCAGTGGCTACTGGTTTGTTATTTTCTGTTTGTTTATTTTGGGTGAGGGAAATAAGCACAAGAAAGCAGGAAAATGACTACCAGTGAGGCAGCTACAAAACTAGAGCTGGCCAGACTGGAAGTGGAAGAAAAGGCAAAAGACCGCAAGTTTCAAATGTGGCAGGCAGAAATGAGGCTCAAAGAAGCAGCTGCAGCCAGGGGAAAAAAAACTGCTCATGAAAGAGCCATGGAAACCCAAAGGCGAGCCCTGGAGTTAAAAAACAGAGAAATGCAGACCCAAATTGAGACCATGAACTGACTATAATGGAGTGGAATAGAGAAAACCCTCCAGCAGCTGTCTCCACTTCCCCAAAAGTCCATTAATGGGAGCAGTTATGTCCGCAGTATGATGAATCCAGTGATATTGCTGAATATTTCATCATCTTTGAGAGACTGCACCCTCCATGCGATTCCTGAAGATCAAAAAATGACCACTGTAGTGGCAAAATTGACTGGGAGAGTTCTGGACATATTCAATAAGATGCCTATTGGTGATGCTTCAAACTATAGTAGATTTAAGGAACTGGTTTTGAAACAGTTTCAGATTACACCTGAAACCTACAGGGTTAAATTCAGGAGTCTTAAGAGGGGATCTGGATTGAGTAATAGGGCTTATGCAAATGAAATGATAAATTTGTATAGACAAGTGGGTGAGGGGGAAAGGCAATTAGAAGATTGACAGAATGGTGTAATTTGGTTACTCAGGAACAGTTCCCAAATATGTGCAGTGATGATGGCAATTAAAGATAAACCACTGGCAGAGGGGTGCAGGGTTGGTGGAAAGCAGAGTCACTGTTTTACCCCTGGGGGAAAGGAGGCTGGGCGTTCACCTCCTCATTCCCCTGTTACTCATCCCGAATCTCCTGTACAAGCAGAGGAGCCCAGAAGGTGCTCTCTTTGTAAGTCCACTGAGCATCTGAGGAATAATTGTCCTGGGCTGAGTGGGAACAGGCAGCAGGTAACATGAAGCTGCTGTTTCTCAGAACACAGGGGTATCCCAGGCTAATGTCTCTTTCCACACATGATTTGTAAAGGTTGCTTCTCCCCAACCAAGCAGTGAGAATATGCATGCTGTTAAACTTAATATCAAAGTACTCCAAGGATGGAGAGACTCTGGTGCAGAAATTTCTGTGGTCAGGAGGGACCTGATCCAGGAGAAGGATTTGTTATCAGGGAAAATGGCAGAATTAGAATTGGTGGGAGGTTACCAAGTCCTTGCATGTTTAGTTAAGGTACACATGGAAACTGGTGATTTGCAGGCTGAACTGACTGTTGTAGTAGTGGCACACAGTTTTGCACCGTTTCTACTGGGGAATGATTTCTTTGATGTGGCAGAATCTGTCCCAGGATTTGTTAGCAGCAAAAAGGGATCTTGGGCTGAAAGTCCCAGAGGGGAGGTTAAAGTCACAAGTGCTGCTGGGGGAATAGGAGAGTCACTCTTTAATTTCTCTGTAGCAGTGAAGATGCAGCTTGGGGGCAGGGATGGTCGTAACTACTTCCTGTAGCCTCAGGGCTCAAGGCAAGTCCCTACGGGAAGGGCAGGATAGAGCCAGCTACTGTCCTGTGATCATCTCCCCGGGGGAGGAGCATGGTCCACCTTGTAACAGGGAGGCCTTCCCTGCTGATGACTGCCAGGAAGTTTCAGGTCAGCAGGGGACAGGTCCTGCCTTGGGGTGCACAGAGACATGTATCCCAAAGATGGAAGCTGATGACCACTGTGGTGGGAACAGACCCCAAGGGCTCTGTAACTGGAAGCAAGCCCAACCTGAGTGAAAGGGGCGGGATTTGGATGGCCAGTGAAGGTTCTGTCATAGCTGGTCGCTGTGAGCCCACAGCTGAATCAAGGTCAACCTCCCTTTTGGGGGACACAGGAGTGTCTGCCTCAGAGGGGAACCCAGAGAGGGAAGTCCAGACGGAAGGTGGGAGGGGCAGAGAGTCTGCCCACCATTCATAGGGAGGCTTTTCCCCAGGAGGAGGGTGAAAAATCTGCATCTGAAATGCCAGACCCCACTCCAGTGGATCAGGGTTTAAGGGAAAACTGGGAGTCAGATCTCCTGGAGGGAGCGCCCCCCCCCCCCAGCTGCCCTTTCGGGAACAGAGAGTGGGGTGAACAAGGGGATCCTACCAATCCAAAGCACCCCATTAAATAATGTTGTTCCTGCTACCCTTGTGGGAGATCACACTGTCTCCTCAAGGCTGGAAGAAGGAAAACTTTGCATTTGGGAAGCTTCACCAGGGGGTGGGGCCCAACACAAAGAGATTCCAGACGGAGGGGCCAAGGGCAGCCATGGTTGTAGTTCACCCTTTCCTTGCCAAAGCCTCAAACACATGCCTGAATTGAGAGCCTTCAGCAAAGAGGCTGAAGACTCTGTATCTGAGCACCTACCATGGTACACAAAGGGGTTGGGAAATACAGTGAACACTGGGCAAGCCAGGCTGGGTGATCGAAGTCTGTCCGTCACAAGTTGGCTGTTAATCTTGTGCTTCTTGGTACTTTATCTAGGGGTCAAGACAAAGTTGTTAATACTAATGGTAAACCCTTTTAAAGATACACCTCTTCCCCAATATAACACGACCCGATATAACACGAATTCTGATATAACACGGTAAAGCAGTGCTCCGGGGGAAGTGGGGGGGGGCGCACTCCGGCGGATCAAAGCAAGTTCGATATAACGCAGTTTCACCTATACCGCAGTAAGATTTTTTGGCTCTATATGTTTATGGAAATATGCTTATGAGTGTAAATCTGACATAACTGGAATATGCTTTATGCTAGATACGCCATGTAACATAGCTTTGCAAAGGTTATGATCTACTGAATATATTCATCCTATTTGTATGCATGTATCGTTTTCATCTCTGAAGTTATAAGTGTGGGCTCTATGCTTGTATTTAAAGTGTTTGCGGTAGGAAACACATAAGAAAGGTTTGGCCAATGTGTTACGAAGGTATTATTCAAGTCACTGGGAGCACTTAACTAACAATGGACTTTGGGAGACGCCAATCCACATCTGAGCTTTCCTGGGAATGTTCAGACTAACATGTAAACAATGACATCGGCCTGCAAAAAGCTGAATCAATCATGGACATGTGACTTGCCCAGATGGCTACAAACTCCATTTTGTTGCTGTGACTTTGCACAGAAGAACAAAGGGGTTTCCACCCACAAGAGAGAGAATATAAAAGGCCCTGGAAGCCTCTCCATTTTGCCTTCAGATGGCTCGAGAGATGGCCTCTCCACCCCAAAGAGATGCCTGAAAGAAACTGGAACAAAGGACAGTAACTATGGGGGTATGAATGATTGCTGGACCCAGGCCATAAACTACAACGTTGGTCTGAAAAGGATTGGGCCTAGTCTAGGAAGGAGTCCAGTCTGTGCAAGAAGCTTATTGGAACATCTCTGAGGGTGAGATTTCATCTGTACTCACTTTCCTAGTGTATTAGGCTTAGACTTGCATGTAACTTACTTTGTTCTGTCTGTTATTACTTGAAACCACTTAAATCCTCAGAGGTAGTCTCAGTACGTCAGGTGACAGTCCCAAAGGGGCTTCTCTGACCGAACCCATCACAAACGCATCTCCTTTTACTGCAACATTAACAAGTTCTCTTTCTCCCTCTTGGAATTGGCCCAAAACTTTTCTAGAATTTCTTTTGTTCTTAATATACTTACTAGCTTCCTTTTTATGATCCTTAGGCCTGAGAAGCGTACATTTTTCACAGATGTCTTTAACTTTCCTTTTCAGTTTTCATATTTTCTGATTTGTATTACTTGTCATATGTTTCTCCTTTTCCCTCTTTCTTATATATGCTTTTCCTATCTAATGGCTGCCTTCAGTTGGCCACACAATTGGGTTTTTAGCAAAAATGATCCACGTTCTTGTCTCTGGAATTATTAAACAAACTCTTCTTAAATAACTACTATTTTTTCCTCCCAATCATTTTGCTGATAATTTGCCTCAGCTTTGGGGAATTAGCCCCTTTGAAGCACTATGTGTCTATAGATATTACTGGTTGGGAACTGGTCTCTGTTTCTCAACTTGAATGTAATCAGTTCCATTCTGTTATTTTGTTCTCCTTTATCATACTTCATTGTCTCTTCTCTAAACTAAATAGGCCCAGACTCTACAGTCTATATGCATATGGCAGCTTCCCCTATTCTCATAGACTGTCTCAGAAACCCCCTCTCCGTCTGCTATATCCATTATAGAGACTGGGTGGCCAAACTGAGCGCATATCCAGAGCAGGTTATTCTCCATTAGGCAACCAAACATTGCCTTTGCTTTGGCCACGCTGTGAATGAGCAGCTGTTTCCATGGAGCTGCTATCAATTATGCCCAGCTCTTTTCCCTAAGGTGTGTTCTATTTGGGATGTTTCCCCCTAGCCAATGTCCTGGCAGAGTTTTCTTTTTTTTCCTACTGTCAGATTTTGAGCAACTGGGTGAATGGGGAACTCCTTTCAGTATGGACTCTCTAGTCTGGGTTTCATTGTATTAAGGAATAATAAGGGTTAACCAGTATCCACACTCCTGTTTCCTGCTGGTGCCTTTCAAGGTTTTCCACACCACGATGTGTAGGAATTATTGATGCACGAAGCATCATAAAATGTGGAATTGGCATTAGTGGTGACAGTTGTTCATGATTTGTTTATCTGAATAATTAAAACTTCACTTTTCAGTGTACGCAGAGTAAGCGATTGGCTTCACCCAAGGGAACAGCTTCCAGTAGCGCATTCAGTATCCCATATTAACATTTTGTCTCTCCATCCAGGCATTAATAATGCGACCATCATGCCAGACTCTGTGCACATAGAGGAACTCAGGGCAACGTGTGGTGCATTCGTGAGACAACTTTCTGCCTCAGAGTTGGACAATTCTCCCGTATTCCATGTCAGATTCCAACACAACTGACTACACCAACCCCTCCAACTTCATCCTGCTGGGCATACCTGGCTTAGAGGCAGCCCATGTCTGGATCTCCATCCCCTTCTGCACCATGTACACCATAGCCATCTTGGGGAACTTCACCATCCTGTTCATCGTAAAGATAGAGCCGAGCCTCCATGGGCCCATGTACTATTTTCTCTGCATGCTGGCTATCACCGACCTGGTCCTGTCCACATCCATCCTCCCGAAAATGCTGGCAATCTTCTGGTTCAATTCCAGGGAGATAAATTTCAGTGCCTGTCTCACCCAGATGTACTTCATTCACTGCTTTACAGTGGTGGAATCTGGGATCTTTGTCGCCATGGCTTTTGATCGCTACGTGGCCATCTGTGATCCCCTGAGACATTCCTCCACCCTGACAAACCGTGTCATAGCCAAGATCAGCATAGTTGTGGTGCTGCGCGGGGCAATACTCATAGTCCCCAAACCCTTCCTGGCAAGGCAATTGCCATATTGCAGAACCAACATCATTGCGCACTCATACTGCGAACACATGGCTGTGGTGAAACTGGCCTGTGCTGACATCCGCATCAGTAGTTACTATGGCCTCTTTGTGGCATTCAATGTGGCCAGTCTGGATTTGTTTTTTATCACTATGTCCTATATTCAGATCCTCAGGGCCATATTCAGGCTACCAACAAAGGACGCCCGGCTCAAGACTTTTCGGACATGCAGCTCCCACCTTTGTGTCATTTCAGCCTCTTACATCCCATCTCTCTTCTCCTTCCTCACACACCGGTTTGGCCAGAATGTGGCCCTGCATTTCCATGTTCTCATGGCCAACGTGTATCTCCTGGTGCCTCCCATGCTGAACCCCATCATCTATGGGGTGAGGACCAAACAGATCCGGAACAGTCTGCTCCGGCTATTTACTCCTCCTCTTCCACCAAGGCAGAAGGATAAACCCCAGCATTAGCTGGGAAGGTGAGATGCTGGGCAGAGGCCGGGGTGGCTTCGGTATCTCACAGGGAGGGAGACAAACAGTGCAGCTTCTATTAATTTGATATTTACACACGTACACAGCACCTCATTGCCCAGGGGCTGAATTTGAACAGTGAAGCTGAGTCTTACATACGCTCTGCATGATGCTTTTTGTCACTATATCTGGAGTACTGTGTCCAGTTTTGGGCCCCACACTGCAAGAAGGATGTGGAAAAATTGGAAAGAGTCCAGCGGAGGGCAACAAAAATGATTAGGGGGCTGGAGCACATGACTTATGAGGAGAGGCTGAGGGAACTGGGATTGTTTAGTCTGCAGAAGAAAAGAATGAGGGGGGATTTGATAGCTGCTTTCAAATACTTGAAAGGGGGTTCCAAAGAGGATGGATCTAGACTGTTCTCAGTGGTGGCAGATGACAGAACAAGGAGCAATGGTCTCAAGTTGCAGTGGGGGAGGTTTAGGTTGGATATTAGGAAAAACTTTTTCACTAGGAGGGTGGTGAAGCACTGGAATGGGTTCCCTAGGGAGGTGGTGGAATCTCCTTCCTTAGAGGTTTTAAAGGTCAGGCTTGACAAACTCCTGGCTGGGATGATTTAGTTGGGAATTGGTCGTGCTTTGAGCAGGGGGTTGGGCTAGATGACCTCCTGAGGTCCCTTCCAACCCTGATATTCTATGATTCTATGATCTAGAAGCTCTGTACCTACGCTGCTAGGTAACATTATCACTGTGTCATGGAGGGACTGAGCCAAGCAGCAGTAAAGTGATTTGCCCAGGGCAACACAATGAGTCAATGGCAGAGGTGAGAATGGGGACTGGAAGTCTTGACCCCGCCAGCACCATTGCTATAGCCATGAACTGGCATTTCTCCGCTCAGTTGTATTAGATGCAGTGATGCTAGTTTTGTGTTGTGATCAGTGGAGTTGCCGTCCTCCTTAAACAGGAGGAATTTATTAAAGAAACAGTTACAAAGGACAGCCACACAGCTCAGTCCTCAGCTTTGTCTTTCTTGTTTGCCAGGGACCAAACACTGCCTAGAACTGTACACAGTGATAGAGGCCCAAGAATGTGCTTTTAGGAACCAAATCAGTGCAAGGTTTGACTTGTAGGCCCTGATTAGGGCCTTTTAGTAGCAGTATATTACACATAATATAAAATAATCTCCATTTAATTCATGGAGAGGCTGTGCCCAGCGTCACCCTATGAATCCATGGCAGAGCTGGCACTCTTCACTCCCAGCTTACTGGTCTCTGCTGATACTTTATCTCTAGTTAAATGGCTTGGGCCAAATCCTCAGCTGGTGTAAATGGGTGCAGCCCTGCTGAGATCAGGGGAAGTCCCCTGAAATAGATAAACCAATGGAGTGACAGCACCAGGTCTCTGTGCTCTTGCATGGACTGTACAAGCCAGGTCTGAGAGAGACTAACCCTTCCTGCTTCCTCAGTTTCCCGATCTTTTAAAGGGGGATATCTCCTGGGAGTTTATGAAGAACTTGTCACTGGTATCCATGTGTCACCATGCTTCAGTGGAACACAGCTGAGGATGACAAATTTGGGACAAATTGCTGAGAAATAGGGCAGACTCACCCCCGTTAGATTGTACCAAGCCAGTAAAAAACCTCTGTTTGCCAGAAGCTGGGAATGGGTGAAAGGGGATGGATCACTTGATGATTACCTGTTCTGATCATTCCCTCTGGAGCACTGGGCACTGTTGGAAGACAGGATACTAGGATAGATGGACCTTTGGTCAGACCCAGTATGGCTGTTCTGATGTTCTTATGGTTAATATATCAGATACATCCAAGCGATTTTTTCAGTTAGCCGTGATGGAATAAACTGCTAGCTTCCAAAAGTTTCTCTGGAGTCATCCAAAGAGCCTGGGGGTCATCAGTCCTCCTGAGGTCTCTTATTTGAGAGCTTCCTTGATAGAAATCCAGACCAGAGAAATGAAGACAAGGTGGGGATGTCTCAGGGGTCATTTCATATCCTCTGCCCTGTGCATGGAATTTTACTGTCCCAAACAAAGCCCACAGCCCAGGTGCCTGGTAAATTACTGGCCCAAGAGAGAGTCTAGGGTCACATGAGCATATCACATGTCCTTACATGCTTTTTTACAGAGGTGTGTTTCTTCTACGTCCCATCATAAGAGCTAAGTTTTCTTGATGGGCAACCGACACAACTATCTGGCCTTATCCATTTGAGTAGTGTTACCCAGGAACACAACCCATGTGTAAGATGCCACTACATCGCCAATAACCCTAACTGCACACACAAACAACAAAAATTGTATTATTAATACTATTATTATACCCCAACCATGAAATTAAAATTGTGTGGTACCACATATATGTATATTTTTCAAGGGTATAAACTTTAATTTTGTTGGAACAAAATAAAAATAATAAAAAGTAGTCATGTATCACACAAAATACAACACAGGACAACACACACGACATACAGGACAAACTTATAATTAAAAACAAATTGTGCCAGAATTCTATTTATAACTGTACAAAATAAGGCAAACAAAAATAAAAAAATAAAAAGGTTAAACATGTAAACAAGTTATTACCTTATGTAAAACTTTTAATAAAAACTGATAAAATCATATTAATATTTTCCAAAGCTGTTGTATAAATTTAATAACAAGGAATTTTGCATTACTTTATATTCAACTTTATTTTAAAACTCTGCTACCTGGAAATAAGGAAAGCCCATGTTCTAAATATTAGCTAGTGGTTAGGATTAGAAGCAGTGTGTGCATTTCTTTTGCTTGGCAACCATTTCTTCAAGAAAGATAGGAATAATTCCAGCTGTTTCATTCCTGAAGGGTTAAAGTAATTAATTTACTGGATTTGTATAAAGTAAAGTTGTTACTTTGTTTTCTCTTTGTTTCTTGTTTTGTTCTGTTTTCGATTGCTTTATCTTTTGGAGGTGTCTGTAAAAATTGTAACTTTTAACTTTTAACACAGAGAGGGAGTCAAAGTGAGGACAGGTGGGGAAAAGGCGGGGCATGGGAGGTGAAGAGCCACCTAGTGGTAAAGAGAAACATAGCAAACTGAAAAATCAAAATGAAGAACTTGGGAATTCCTTCCTGTGGGGTACCCTCAAACCCTTTCACCCCCCCTCTGGGGAAGAGCTGAGAAAGGAAAAGAAATCCGCTCTTGCTACCAGCTAACTAAGAAACATGTGCTCAAACATCTTAAGACACAGAAATCCAACCAGGTTCTTTAAAAAAGGTATTTTTAAAAAAAAAGAAGAGGAAAGAAAATACATCTGGAACTCAGGCTGTTGCTAGATTTTAAAGAGCAACAGCAGGAATTAAGCACCAAGAATAGCTTTTTGGGGTCCAGCTTAAAGGTTACCAAGCAAAACAAAACAAAAGTACCCTGGGGTTAGCACAGAGACATCCACAAACCAAAACAAACAAAAAAGATCCCCAATTGTGTCTATCTAACATTACCTATGCTACTTACATATCTGGGGTTCCAAATGAGTAGTTTCTAGGCATGATGCTGATGATTTCCCATACCTGGCTCAAACCTTACAGACTGTTGCTGCCTTGTCTCTCCAGACCAGAGAACAAAGACACACACACCCAGACATTTTTTTCCCAGTTTGAAAGGGTACAGCTACCCTATTGGTTCCCCTGGTCAGGTGCCAAATCATTTAAAGCTTACCTCTTAATCCTTTACAGGTAAGGCAATTTGGATACAGCTGCTAAGGAGGATTCTATAGCTAACTGAATGATTGGGCAGTTACACAAGGGTGCTACCCTCCTCACCTATCACAGCCCATTACTAAATGAAGAGGGAAAAACAATAACAGAAAATGTGGAAATGGTAGAGGTGTTTAATGACTTCATTTTTTCATCAAGAAGGTAGATAGTGTTTGGATGGCTAACATAGTGAATGCCAGTGAAAATAGGGTAGGTCCAGATGCTAAAATAGGGAAAGAACCATTTAAAAATTACTTCGACAAATGTCTTCAAGTCACCAGGGCCTGATTAAATGCATTCTAGAATACTCAAGGAACTGACTGAGGAGATATCTGAGCCATTAGTGATTATCTTTGAAAAGTCATGGGAGATGGGGGAGATTCCAGAAGACTGGAAAAAAGCACATATAGGGAAATAAAGGCAACCCAGGCAATGATGGACCAGTCAGCTTAACTTCTGTACCAGGTAAGATAATGGAGCAAATAATAAAAGAATCAATTGGAAAAGATCTAGAAGATAATATGGTGATAAGTAATAGTCAGCATTGATTTGTTTCTTTGACAGCATAACAAGCCTTGTGGTTGGGGGAAGGTTGTAGATGTGGTATATCTAGACTTTAGTAAGGCTTTTGATACAGTCTTGCATGACCTTCACATTAACAAACTAGGGAAATACAACCTAGATGGAGCTAATATATGGTGGGTGAATAACTGGTTGGATAACTGCTCCCAGAGAGTAGTTATTAGTGGTTCACAGTCAGGCTGGAAAGGCATAATGAGTGGGGTCCCGCAGGAATCAGTTCTCGGTCTGGTTCTTTTCTATGTCTTCATCAATGATTTAGATCATGGCATAGGGAGTACACTTACAAAGTTTGCAGACAATACCAAGCTGGGAGGGGTTGCAAGTGCTGTGGAAGATAGGATTAAAATTCAAAATGATCTGGACAAACTGGAGAAATGGTCTGAGGTAAATAGGATGAAATTCAATAAGGACAAATGAAAATACTCCACCTAGGAAGGAACAATCAGATGCACACATACAGAATGGGAAATGACTGCCTAGGAAGGAATACAGGAAAAATGCAGAAAGAGATCTAGGGGTCATAGTGGACCACAAGATAAATACGAGTCAACAGTGTAACACTGTTGCAAAAAAAGCAAACATCATTCTGGAATGTATTAGTAGAAGTGTTGTAAGCAAGAGACGAGAAGTGATTCTTCCACTCTACTCTGCCCTGATTAGGCCTCAATTGGAATATCATGTCCAGTTCTGGGTGCCACGTTTCAGAAAAAAATTGGAGAGAGTCCAGAGAAGAGCAACAAAAATGATTAAAGATCTAGAAAACATTACCTATGAGGGAAGATTTAAAGAACGAGGTTTGTTTATTCTGGAGAAGGGAAGCCTGAGAGGGGACATGATAACAGTTTTCAAATACCTAAAAGGTTGTTACAAGGAGGAGGGAGAAAAATTATTGTCCTTGACCTCTGATGATAGGACAAGAAACAATGGGTTTAAATTGCAACAAGGAAGGTTAAGGTTGGACATGTCAGGGTGGTTAAGCACTGGAATAAATTGCCTAGGGAGGTTGTAGAATCATTGGATGTTTTTAATAGCAGGTTAGACAAACACCTGTCAGGGATGGTCTAGAAGATGGTGCTGGTCCTGCCATGAGTTCAGGGGACTGGACTTGATGACCTCTTGAGGTCCCTTCCAGTCCTATGATTCTGTGCTCCAAAGCAGCACCCTGCCCCCATATTTACCATGGTGATAGGATTATGATCATGCCAGGTATCATTGCAAAAGTTATGACTTGCTGAATATGACTACCCTATTTGTGTGCATATGTCATTTTGTACCTAAACTTATGAATATTAACTATATACCAATATTTCAAATGTATTTAAGGTAATGGCCCATTAAGAAACACAATAGGCCTTAGAAGCTTAGAGCTAATCTACACTGCCAACAGTAAAGTGCTGCTGGCATAGCTCCCAGCGCTGTTACAATGCCTACCCTCTCTATTCCTTCTTCTGGGTTCCATTCCTTCCATGTCCACCCCTCTGCAGAGAAGATGAACAAACTATTGACAGATGCCTCTGCCCCAGCCTCCTTCTGCTAAGTACAAGGAACCTGAACAAAGAGTACAGGAAAAGGCAGCCCAAAGACATAAGGCTACAGATGGTTCATTCAATCGAATGAGAGATAATGGGGTTTCCACCCATCTGGGTTTTACCTGGACAGTCTGCTTTTTGGCTTCTGTGTCCAGGTGCCAATTAGGGCTGTCAACCAGAAAATCCAGTTCAAAAGGGGGACCTGGCAGTGTCCAGTTACTGCAGGGCAGAGGGAGTAGTCGGGTCATAAACAAATGGCAGCCTCTGATAGCCGGGGCCACCTCCTACCTTCAGGCAGGCTCCTTATCAGGCTGGAGCAGCTCCCGTCTCAGCCTTGGAGCTCAGGGAGGCCAGCTGGGCAGAGTGCCATTTAGAGGGGATGGGGGGGTTAACCCCTCCTAAGTTTTCTACCTGAGGTTTGTGCACAGAGCACACCCTAGCCCCAGAGAGAACTCTTAACTGCAATACAGTTGTTATGCTTATAAGAAGCACACAGGATCTTTTTCAGGGAAAAAGGCAATACACTGCGTTTATTGAAAATACATCAATTATCCTGTGCATTCAATCACACACACACACTGTCCTGCCAGTCTATGTACAGCTACCAGTCAAGAGTCTGGAACAATCTAGTGGCCAGCTAGACCATGGGTAGGTAGGAGCCGGGTTCTGTCATTCGCGACAGGATGCTCAGGGGAAGTGCAGGACGAACCCAAAGTTTCATGGCAAGGCACCCTGTTTAGATAGTGATCTTCCTTCATTGGGACCAATGAGTTTTGCATCATCATGCTGTAATCAATCGCCATTTGACGAGTGTTTGTTTTCTTAAATTGTCCTTCTCATCCTTTATCTTGTTCTTTCATTAAGTTTCTCAGGGAGTTATCCCAGGCTGGTTTTGATCACAGCTATCTTGTCCTCATTGATAGGTGCCTGAATCATCTTTAGAGTCCTCAATCTTCCCTCCTCTGACATTTCAATAGGGGCATGTTGCAGCCTCTTGGTGCCCTTGGGTCTGTCTCCAGCTCCTCCCTAGAACATCTGGTTCAGCGATGGCCTTCACACTTATCTCTTAACACACACATTCCTCATTCACACAGAAACCAGAATTAATGTACACAGAACATTTTGAACAGGAACATCACGTTGCAATGCAAAGGAAAACAATCATGGCGTTCTTTTACTAATTTTAGAATGCTAAACCTACAACAAAATGATGACCGTCAAAGGTCTGTTACTGCCTTGAAATCAACCCAGACACAGATTCTGACTGATGCATCTTTACCAAATGGTTCATTAGGCCATTGCTTTCTGCTATTCAAAAAGGGTGGCTGGCAGGATACGGTCAAATTATACATCAATACATTTAATACATGCTACATTATTCTATTATTATTCTTTATCTTTCATTCTTAAATGATACAAAATATAAACATAAAATCCTACTACTCCACAGTTTGAGTGTGATATGTGATAAATTATCTGCTGCTTTCAATTTCTGCCTTTGGGGCAGTGTGTTTGTTTGTAAATAAGGGCAGGTAAACAGTGACACTTGTCATTAATTAAATTAAGAGTCATTCAATAATCATGAAAACATTGCCAGGCACTCCCATTAAAAGATAGGAATAAATGCTGAGAATGGATGTAAGTAAATGGTCATGCCCCGCAGGGATCTGTCCTGGGACCAGTCCTATTCAACATATTCATAGATGATCTGGAAAAAGAGGTAAACAGGTAAGTGGCAAATTTCACAGATGATAAAAAAATACTCAAAATAATTAAATCCAAAGCAGACTGTGAAGAGTTGTAAAGGGATTTCAAAAAATGGGTGACCAGGCAACACAAAGGCAGATGAAATTCATTGCTGATAAATGCAAAGTAATGCGCATGATGAAATATAATTACAACTATACATACAAAATGATGGGGTCTAAACTAGATGTCACTATTCAAGAAAGAGATTTTTGAGTCATGTGGATAGTTCTCTGCAAACAGCCACTCAATGTGCAGTGACAGTCAAAAAAGGTAACAGAAAAGGATAGATAATAAGATAGCAAATATCATTTTCCCTATATATAAAACCATGGTACACTCACATCTTGAATACTGCATGGAGATCTGGTCGCCCCATCTCTCTAAAAAAAAACCCCAACATATTGGAACTGGAAAAGGTACAGAGAAGGGCAACAGAAATGTTTAGGGGTATGGAATAGCTTCCATATGAGGAGAGATTAATAAGACTGGGACTTTTCAGCTTGGAAAAGAGATCACTAAGGGGGGTATGAGAGAGGTCTATAAAATCATGAATGGTGTGGAAAAGCTGAATAAAGAAATGTTATTTACTCTTTCACATAGCACAAGAACTAGGGTTTGGCCAATGAAATTAATAGGCAGCAGATTTAAAACAAACAAAAGAAAGTATTTATTCACAGTCAACCTGCGAAACTCTTTGCCAGGAGATGTTGTGAAGGCCAAAACTATAATAGAGTTCCAATAAGAACTAAATAATTCCACGCAGGATAGATCCACATATTAGCCAAGTTGGGCTGGGATGGTGTCCCTAGCCTCCATTTGCCAGAAGCTGGAAATGGGAGACCGGGCAGGAATCACTTGATGATTGCCTGTTCTGTTCATTGCCTCGGAAGCACCTGGCACTGGCTACTATCTGAAGACACGATACTGGGCTAGATGGACCATTGGTCTTACCCATTATGGCTGTTCTAATGTTCCTAAACAGTCCCCAGTTGTGTCTGCCTCTTGCTGTAACCTACTACACCCTACATGCCTCCTAGAGCTAAGATAGAACCCAGGGGTCCTGATGCTGTCTCTCTCTCCACAGAGTTAGTAAAGAAGTTTGAATATAGATTTAAATAT